GCCCACCTTGGCCTCCCAAAGTGCTGGGATTACAGATGTGAGCCACCACCCTCAACACTGAATTTGTCTTTATGGATGGAAATGTAATGTAATACATACATTATTTGGGATGACATGTCCTGTCCAAATTCCTAGCATTTTAAAATCGTCTTTCCACTGTCATATTTAATTTTATAGTTGTGGTTGCAAACAAGAGGCTTGGTGAGATTAAAATGGCACATGGACATATTTTTTTGGCCAATAAATATTTAAACACTTACTTTCCTAATATTAAAAGTCAGGAATTACACATCAAATATGGCATTTGGGAGTCCAAATGCATCATAATAACAGTTACAACTGAGTTTAGATGAGGCAGATATTCTGCATTTCATCATATCTTTACACCTCCCATTAATCTTTATTAATCATCATACCTAGCCTGTTTCACACACTTACATTATATTACTTATTGGATGTATTATGGAAAACACTACATATAAGCAGCTCTCCTTTGTTCTTTCTTCTATTGAACCAATATTTTTGAACTACGGTACTCCCATTCTAAATAATGGGAATATGGTGGTTACAGGGATCATCAAAGTCCTTACATTTTAGAGAGAGAAGACAGACAATAAGCAAGTAAACAGAAATGCAAACAGATATTTTCTGGTAGTTCTAAGTGTAGTGGAGATAACGAAGAAAATGTGGAGAGAGAGACAGTGACTGATGTTAGAGAATGGGATCCTGTGGATTCGATATCAGGAGAACTTCTCTGAGGAGAGGCCATTTGAAATGAGACCTGAGTGACTACCAGGAGTCAGCTATTCAAGATCTGGGGGAAGATTATTTTAGGTAGAGGGAATGGCAAGAACAACTAATCTACAGTAAAACTGAGAAAAGAATCATCTTGCTCAGACAGAAAGATAACTTCTGGTACATCATACTGTACAAGGTGTTGCGAGCCACAGCTACCTAGGAATTCTCCCAGTTTTCCTGGTACTATAAAAATGTCAAAAAGAAATCATCTTCTTGGTCATGTATGGTGGCTGAGGCCTATGATCCCAACACTGTGCGAGACTGAGCCTGGCAGATGAATTGAGGCTGGCCAACATGGCAAAACCCTGTCTACTAAAAATACAAAACTTAGCTGGAAATGGTGGGCACGCCTGAAATCCCAGCTACTCCAGAGGCTGAGGCATGAAAATCACTTGAACCTGGGAGGCAGAGGTTGCATTGAGCAAATTGCTCCATGGCACGCTAGCCTGGGTGACAAAGCAAGATTCTGTCTCAAAACAAGAAAATAAAGAAAAGAACAACATGAAATCCTCTTTTCTCTGTTTAAAACTTTCAATTTCCAAAAAGTATTAAAAAGTTGATTGTGGCTCAGTAATTCCACAAACTGATTAAAGATATTAAGCTTAACTAATGGAGGGTAATGGTGTTCATTAAATGTTAACTGTATAAACACAATAGATTGCTAGGTGTCCATATGCTTCTGTTCAGAGTCTTCTACTTATCCATTTTATTTTATTCAAAATATGCCGAAAGTTATTAGTTCATGAATCTCACGAAGCAGATGATGCTCATCTCTTGATTAAGCACATGTTTAAAACATACATTCCATTTAAATGCTGGTGTAAAAACTGAAAGCCTTAGTTGACTAATTTAATGATATAAAAACAGCTTTGTGTATCAAACTGAGCAGTCTATGATTATCACATAATCAAACACACGCAAACACACACACACACACACACACACACTCAGAAACACACATAAGTACATTTTCTTTTAAAACTCAAGTTCACTTAGATTGGTAGAAAAGTTCCTTTGTTAAATAGCAATTTAAAATTATTACTTATTAGCTTTTTTTCATCATCTCAACAAATTGATCTTGATTTTTTGCAACTGAAAAAAAAATGTTGACTTAAAAAAATTAAACCTTGGTATGAACCTCGGGTGGGGAATGCATATGTGCACAAACAGCCATTCTTAATTAAGGAAACACCATATCACAAACAATCAGAGCTGAGCTCTTTGAAACTTTCCCTCCTATGCCAGTGTAATATTTAACCACCATCAAATGTTCTGCATTCTGCATACTGTGCCGGTAATTAACCTTATAAACTTATTTTCTGAGCAACTCTCACAGTTGATAAATGTAGGTAAGGGTAAAACTCAGCAAGGTTATTGAATAACAATGAGTGCATCCAGAATGAAAAATAACACACCTTCTTCTGAAATAAGATATGAATAGACTTTACTCTAGTAATTAATGTTGCTGCATTTTGCATGAAGATGGGGTATTTTTCATTTAAAGCCCATGTGTTAATTTTCCTTCATAGATAAGCCAAAAGCCTTGACTCTGTCATCAGACCTTTGGCATCTCCTTCTGTTTCAGTCTTGGGACTCTGCCAATAGGCAGCTATTCTGTATTTGAATTTCCATGCTGGAGTATGGGAATAGAGAGTCACCAGAATTCACTTTGTTTTCAATCAGATCCAGATTAAAAGAAGTCACATTAAAACCAAATACTACTCCTATTAACCAAGCATATGCCAAACATTGTTCTGAAAGACAAGGAGTCCTACAAATCAGCATTAAGGAAAGCTAAACATAAAAGCTATTACAGGAGAATGATGGTTGGGACCAAGCAGTGCCAAGTGATGACATTTTGCAACAATCTCCCCAAGTCACAGTGATTTGAAATCCTCAAATAACTCTGAAAAATTAATTAAGAGACTTGTGTTCCAGTCCAGCTCTGCACCTGGTTTAGTGGTAAGACCTTAGAATTCTCATTATGTTTCTAAGAATCTTAATTTCTTTATTTGCACAAAGTAGAGATTGGTCCTGAATACTCCTTAGGCCGCATCCAAAAATAAAATTCATATGCCTTTGGAAAGATACAATTGTTTTTTATTTGGGAAATATAAATTACATATTTCCTAAAGTGAGAAGCAATTGTGTATGTGAGTAACAGTTTTTAACACAATTTCTGCTTTAACAATCTTTCCATAGCTTGCCACTGTCCAAATGATAAAGGTATTAGCATGGGTCACATGAACCTACAGAATCACGTGTCTATATTTCAGGCTCATCTCCCATCTCTTGCTATTAATCTTCATTTTAAATGACAGGATAACAAAGTATATGTAGTTTTCTGAATATGTGTTTCTATTTCTCTCTATTGCCAACACTCTTTTTCACCATCCCCGTTTATCCAATTAATTTCTGTTTGTAATAAAAAGCCCCATTCAAGCAACACTGCTTCTCTAAAGATTATGGTGTGCCAAACATAGTTAATCCCTTTTTCTTCTGTACTATCCTTTTGCCACATACCTCTCTTCTGACATTACATTTATGAGCTATCATATTTAATACAACAGGAAACCAAGTTTATGGTATGTTCTTCCTTGAATTACCTAGCACTATGCCTTATACATAGGAAAATAGTATGTACAGATAAAATTAAAATCCTTGATCTTAGTGATTTTGAATGACCATTTGTTATATGTGCTGATTTAGTACCATTTACTTTAATAAGCTAGTTTGAGAATATACTTAGGACTTCTATTGGTCAGTTTAGTGAAACATTTTAAAACAGTCAATTATGGTTTGATTTCACAGTATCGGCCATTAGAATAAAAATTGCGACACTTGTAGGGATATTTCTATACTATAATAGAAAGACATCAAATATTTCTTCTGTAGTTTTAAAGTATAAATAAATATAAAAAATTCTTAACACATGACCAGTATTTACAAAGACAATCAAATATATTAAGAAAACAGTTTAAAAACATGTAAGCTATGCTTTTAAATAGCAGCTCAATAGGTTTAGATCTCTTAATTTGTGGAAATCCAAAATATTGGCTTATGATCAATATGACCAGATACATTTCTCGGTTCTTTTGGGTTTATTTCATATTCGCTGAGAACAAATCTAATCTCTCAGGAAAACAAACATTATTTCTTCATGTTTTTAAAACTATGTCCTCTTAATAGATATATACATAGATAAATGTATGTCTAAATGGCACATATATGTTTTAAATATTAATATTCAATTGTTAAACATGGACATTCTATTTGTTGGTAAATGTGCTATAATATACTAAATGAAATGAGCCAGATCCCAAAAGAAAAATAATACATAATTTAATATGGCATCTTTACAAGTCGAATACATAGAAACAGAGTTGAATAGTGTCTATCAGGGTGGGGAGAAAGTGGAAATGAGAAGTAAGTCAAAGGTTACAAACTTTCAGTCATGAAGGATGAATACATTTAGAGATCTGATGTGCAACATGAGGAATATAGCTAATAATATTGTATTATGTTTAAATTTGCAGTAACTGTAGATTTTAGGTGCTCTCATCACAGAAAAAAAGGTAATGAAAGGTGAGGGAAATGTTAATTTGTTTGACTATAGTAATCATTTTATAATATATGTACATCAATACATCTTATAAACTTTAAATGTATATAATAAACTTAAAATGAGAAATCTTTAGTTTTGTAATAATTGTTATTGCAAGTCCTTTAAAATTTAACATAAAAAATTCAATGTCTAATATATAATGACCTAGAACATGCTGTAGAAAAAAGAAAATGCCAAGTTCAAAAACATTTATACACAATTTTTGAAAATATAGCAATTAAAAGTGTACGTTGGGCATGGTTGATGTTTAACATATGTTTTTGAAATAAAAAAGACTATCAGAAATGATTGCTATTGTGATGTGACTTTTTGATTTTGTTTACTTTTATCCACTTAATTTTTACTTTTACTCTCTTTTCCCATTTAAAAAATATGCCCAGGATCAAATCTTACTCTCTCACAGCCATAGATATAATTTCAGAGAAAGCGAAAGAAGTGATGATATTGAGAGAGTAACAAATATTTGTTTTTAATTTTATATTATAGATAAACTAAACATACCTGAATTCACTCTTTTGTGACCAAATGTTTTTCCATTGTTGTGCTTATAATACATAACTATACATATATATGCTACTTAATAAATGTTGGTCAGTTTCACAATGGATGGATGAATAGATGAAGGAAAGAGTGGATGGTTGCATGATTCAATGAATAGTGGGCATAAATATTTGTTTATATAACTGAGGCACAGGGGTCATCTAGGGAGTGGCTGACAAGGTGGTGACATCTATAGCATACAGAGTATGTTAGTTCATAGTATTTCTGGTTTTATTCTTACTTTTTCAACTTTTTTCACATTGTCTTATAATAGCCAAGCTTATAAAACTGGCAGAAAATTGCTAATTTAATAACTTACAAAAAGAAACATAACTGCTAGGTAGACAATATTCACAATTTTACATTGCAAGAAATTACCTGGAAAGTCAAAATATAAAGACAAGGTTGCTAATAAAATATAAATTAGTACAAGGAGTATTAAGGTAAATAAATGATTATGTCAAACTATGTAATGTCCAGTGAATACTTCAATATTAGTCTTGCCAAATTTATCTTCTGTTGAAAATGTATTTTCTGGAATAACCAATATCATTCTGAGCAATTCACTTAATTTTTAAATTAGTATCAAATTATCTCTTATTCACTTTAATATGTTGCTGAGACATTCATTAATTGCTACTTTATTTTTTATCTAAAGAATTGAATATCATCACAAGAAACAGTTAAAAAACATGTTATTTTTTTTTTCTTTTATATGGTTTGTCACCAGTATTTATAAGACAAGACCTAAGGAACAGGCTACATCTGGGTACATATGCATGGTCTTAATATAGGAAATGTTTAGCCTGTTCTGACTATTACAAAATCAGAACATTGAGAATATTCACAGAAAATGTAACTTTTTGAATGTTAGAAAACAACCAAACATTTACTGATACAAGATAGGATACTAATGTCAGAAGAAATGCTTAATTCAATTGATGAGGGGAATATCAACAAAAATAATTATTTGATATCACCTAAATTAAGATGCATCAATTTCAGTGGTAGTGCTTTGTGGAGAACAGTTTACAACCAGGGTAAGTTCTAGATAATTTTTGTTCTTTGGACTAATAATAAAAATAATAACAATTAGGTTGAAGTGAAAAATTATAAATGATATCATATCTTTAAAACTGTTACTTAAATTGTTCTGACAGTATGGCAGCTTTTATGTTCTGAAAAACTATTCAATATTAAACATCTAGGAATGCTGAGCAAATTTTGACAGCTGTATGTTTAAATGCATAGGAGAGATTTCAAGATGCTAAAGGAAAATCCAAAGAGGGCCAAAACCAAAAGAGAACTGACAGCAAAGTGAAAAGCAAGAACTGGAGCACATCTGTTCTATAGATATATGATGATTCCAGAAATCTAAAACTGTGAGTATTAATCATCACCTGGAGAAAGGAGGAAAGGTCATGGTGGACCAACAGGATTCCCACATACATTCTTCATCTTCGAACTACTACTACATCTCCAGTACACTCGTGAACGAAATATATATATATATATATATATATATATATATATATATACCAGTAAAACAAACAAATAAGACAGTGAAGGTCAATCAGGTTTTTTTTTCTGCTTTGGTTAAGACTTTGGGAAGAAAAAAATGCAATAATTGGCTTAAATAAAAAGAGTTAGGGTTTGCCATAATTTTCAGCAAACTGACACAAGAACAGAAAGCCAAAAACCACATGTTCTCAATCATAGATGGGTATTGAACAATGAGAAAACGTGGACTCAGGGAAAGGAGCATCACACACTGGGGGCAGTCAGGGGGGTAGGGGAGAGACAGCAGAGGGTAGGGAGCAGGGGGAGGGTGAGGAGGGATAACATGGGAAAAAATGCCAGATATAGTACACACCTAAAGTTAAATAAATAATTTTTTTTAAAAAGAGTTAGGTTTTGAATTAAGAATACTTACAAAGTTTAGAAAGCCATAGTTCCCCCCCCCACAAAAATATCACTCAAATTAGTGAAGTTTTATATAGATAAATGGAAAGGAAAGGATAAGAAAGGAAAGGAAAGCAAACCAGCCTTAAAAGCAACTAGAAAAAAAAAAGACACAAAAAATACAGAAAGCAATGAAAGTGATAATAGATTTCTTCTGGGAGAAAAGAGTAGAACAATATCTTTAAAGTATAAAAAGAGGAGACAAAAGAAAGCAAAACAGTGAAAAAAAAAATTAAAGAAACCTGTGGATCCAAAATTCTACACCTAATAAAATCATCCTTGAAAACCAAGATGAAATAGACTTTAAAAATATTTATAAAATCTTAAATAATTCATCACCATCAGGTGTCTAAAACAAGCAAATATTAGAAAGTCTTTTAGAGCAAAGGAAAATGACACCAGATGGAAATCTGGATCCTCAAAAGGACTAAAGAACACTGGAAATGATAAGTATGTGGGTAAATACAAAAAACTTTCTTTTTATTATTATTTTAGTGTCTTTGAAAGATAACTGACAGGCCGGGTGCGGTGGCTGACACCTGTAATCCCAGCACTTTGGGAGGCTGAGGCAGGCAGATCACGAGGTCGAGAGATCGAGACCATCCTGGTCAACATGGTGAAACCCTGTCTCTACTAAAAATACAAAAATCAGCTGGGCATGGTGGCACGTGCCTGTAGTCCCAGCTACTTGGGAGGCTGAGGCAGGAGAATTGCTTGAACCCAGGAGGTGGAGGTAGCAGCGAGCCGAGACCGCGCCACTGCATTTCAGCCTGGTGCCTGGCAACGGAGCAAAACTCTGTCTCAAAAAAAAAGAAAAGAAAAAAGAAAACTGACACTGTAAATAATATATTTTACAATATATTGTGATGTTTATAACACATGTGAAATAAATTGTATGGCAATAATACAAAGGCTGAGAGAGGAAAAATATAAGTATTTAGTTCTTAGGTTCTTATACTATATGTGAAATAGTATAATACCAACTGAAAATAGATTGTGTTGAATTAAACATGTATTCTACAAAAACTAAAGCAACCACTAAAGTACAAAAATATTACTAAGAGAAATTAAGGAATACCAAAATTATTGGTGAGTTATGCCAGGTCCCTGGATCAAAAACTGTAATACTATTAAGATGTCAATAGACAAAATATACTGAAAAAAGAGGAAACTAAATAACTTATACTATCTGATTTCAAGATCTGCTATTATGAAACTGTGGTAATAAATATAGTGCTGCATAAGAGATACAAAAATCGTTCAATAGAATAAAATTATACGACAAGAAATAGACTCATGCATAAATAGTGAATTAATTATTTAGCATTCAAGAAAAATACTAAATCAATTCAGTAAAGAAAGGATAAACTTTTCAACAAACAATGAAACAATTAGATATCCAAATACAGCAATAAAAACCAAGTGTTTCATAACTTGTACAATACAAAAATTAACCCAAAATAAACCAAAGATCTAAATTTTAAAACTCAAGTAAAACTTCTGGAAGGTATGAGAAAATTTATGTGCAAGCATCTACTTTTTTCAGTATATGACTCCATTTATATAAAGTTGAACAACAACATAAACTAATTAATGTTTCTAGATACTATAATAGAGATTACTTCAAAGTAAGCAAGAATGAGGTTAGTAGTGGTGGCATGTACTGAAAAGGAGTGCAAATATATGTACTGGGTGATGAGATGTTCAGTATCTTTTTTTAAAAGTGACTTTATTGTGTAGAATAGTTTCAGGTTCATAGCAAAACTGAGAGGAGGGTACAGAGATTTCTCATATACTTCCTGACCCTACACATGCATAGCCTCTCCCATTATGACCATTCCCCACCAAAGTGATACTTTAGTTGCAATTGATAAACCTATATTGACACATCATCATCACCCAAAGTCCATAGTTTATATGAAGGCTCACTCCTGCTGTTACATGTTCTATGAGTTTGGACAAATGTAAAACTATGCAAATCCACAATTACAGTATTATTGTGGTAGTTTCACCACCTTATTAATCTTCTGTACTCTTCCTATCCATCCCTCTCTCTGCTGTATGCCTTGGCAACACTGATCCTTTTACTATCTCTATACTGTTACCTTTCTAACAATGTCTTACAGTTGGAATCATATAACATGTAGCATTTTTAGGTTGCCTTATTTCACTTAGTAGCAGGCATTTAAGTAATCATAATGTCTTTTCATGGTTTGATAACCCACTACTTTTATTGCTGAATAATGTTCCATTTTCTGGATGTATCATATTTATCCATTGAACTATATAGGGACATTGTGGTTCCTTCCAACTTTTGGTAATTATGATTAATGATGATGTAAAGATCTGTGCACATAAGATTTTTACTCTTTTGGGTAAATTTCAACTCCTAGGAAGCATGATTGCTGAAGCATATTATAAAAGCATGCTTAGTTATATTTAAAAAAATCAAATTGCATTTCAAAGGGACTCTACCATTTTCCATTCCTACCAGTAATTAATTATGGTTCCTGTCACTTCACATCCTCAACATGTGGTGTTGTCAGTGTTTTTAATTTGGCCACTCTATGTATGTAGCAGTATCTTATTTTAATTTGCATTTTCCTTATGATATTTGATGTGAAACGTGTTTTCATATTCTTATTTTCCATCTATCTTCTTTGGTGAGGTGTCAGTTAAGTCTTTGGCCTATTTTTTAGTTGGTTTGTTAAATGTCTTAGTGTTGAGGTTTCAGTGCTCTTTGTATATTTTAGATAATAGTCTTTACCAATTATGTCTTTTTCAAATATTTTCCCTCTGTATGGGGCTTGTCCATTCATTCTCTTGTGAGTGTTTCATGCATGGGAAATAAAATTAACTTTAATAAAGTCAAGCTTATCAATTATTTCTTTTTGTAAAATTTTTTTCTTCCCCTTTTAGGATTCAGGGGAACATGTGCAGATTTGTTACAAAAGCAAATTGTGTGTTGCTGGAGCTTGATGTACAAAACGTCTCATTACCCAGCTAGTGAGCATAGTAACTTATAGGGAGCCTTCTGACTCACACCCTCCTCCCATTCTTGCTCCTCAAGTTGTCCCCAGTGTCTTTTGTTTCCATCTTTGTGTCCATGTGTACTCAATATTTAGCTCTTACTTGTCAGTGAGAACGTGGTATTTGGTTTTCCACACCAGCATCAATTTTCTTAGGATAAAGGCCTCCAGCTGCATTCATGTTTCTACAAAAAACATAATTTTGTTCTTTTTTTATGGTTTGTGTGTGTGTGTGTGTGTGTGTGTGTGCATGTATGCATGTATGTGGGGATTCACTAAGGGTGGTGGCAAAAATATTAAGAGAAAAATATTAGAGAAAGTTATAGAATATAGTCTCAAATCCTTTTGGAATGCCTAAGGGGTTTTCCTGTAGTTCTTGGCTGAAGGTAGCTAGAGTCTTTTTGCAGGAGCTAGAGAGATTAGGGTGCAAATACAAAGGAATGTGAGTTGTTTACCTAGCTACCTTGTTTACTCATGTGGTCTTAAAACTAACTTTTGAGCTGGATGGCCCTCTTTGGGGTAGGTTGACCAACTAATGGTGTTTTCTTTGGGTATCAGAACCCTGTTTTTTAATCTTTGAATTCTAGCGGTGTTGACTCAAGCCTTTGTCAATTAAACTTACTAAACAAACGCAAGTGCCACTGGCCCTGGAGGGCTGGCAGCTGCTATCTCCTTATAGCACTCTCCAGAGTGACTGTAAGCCACCCATATACACTCAGTTGAACTGGAAAAGCATAATATCTGTGTGTCAGTATACTTTATTCATCCGTCATTAAGACAGGGTCTGCAGGACAGACCCCTGCAGGTAGTGATGCTGACATATACATATGTCACATTTTGTTTATTCAGTCCATCATTGATGGACATTTTAGTTGAATCTGTTTTTGCTATTGTGAACAATGCAGTGAACATATGCGCACATGTGTCTTTTTGGTAGAACAATTTATTTTTCTTTGAATATATACACAGCCGTAACATTGCTGGGTCAAATGGTAGTATCATTAAAATGGTCATACTACCGAAAGCAATTTTACAGATTTAATGCTATTCCTATCAAATTATCAGCATTATTTTTCACGGAATTGAGAAAAGCTATCCTGAAATTCATATAGAACTTAAAAAGAACCAGAATAACCAAAGCTATCCTAAGCAAAAAGAAGAAAGCCAGAGGCATCATACTACCTGACTTTAAACTATACTACAGGACTACAGTAACCAAACAGCATAAAACTGATACAGAAACAGACATAGAGTTCAATGAAACAGGATAGAGAGCCCAGAAATAAAGCTGTACATCTACAATCACCTGTTCTTTGACAAAGTCAACAATAACAATAAGGAAAGGACTCCCTATTCAAAATATGGTACAGGGACAACTGGCTAGTCATATACTGAGGAATGAAACTGGACCCCTTCCTTTCACCAAATACAAAAATTAACTCAAGATGTATTAAAGACCTAAATGAAAGACAAAGAAGAGATGCTGGCAAGGTTACAGAGGAAAAGGAACACATATAGTGATGGTGGCAATCTAGGCTAGTTTAGCCACTGTGCAAAGAACGTGAACTCATCCTTTTGTATGGCTGCATAGTATTCCATGCTGTATATGCACCACATTTTCTTTATCCAGTCTATCACTGATGGGCATTTGGGTTGGTTCCAAGTCTCTGGTATTGTGAACAGTGCCACAATAAACATACATGTGCATGTGCCTTTATAGTAGAATAATTTATAATCCTTTGGTTATATGCCCAGCAATGGGATTGCTGGGTAAAATGGTATTTCTGGTTCTGGATCACACTAGAATTGTCACACCATCTTCCACATGGTTGAACTAATTTACACTCCCATCAACAGTGTAAAAATATTCCTATTTCTCTGCATCCTCACCAGCATCTATTGTTTCCTGACTTTTTAATGATCACCATTCTAACTGGAGTGAAATGGTATCTCATTGTGGTTTTCATTTGCAATTCTCTAATGACTAGTGATGATGAGCTTTTTTTCATGTTTGTTGGCTGCATAAATGTCTTCTTTTGAGAAATGTCTCTTCGAATTCTTCACTCACTGTTTGATGGGGTTGTTTTTTTCTTGTAAATTTGTTTAAGTTCTTTGTAGATTCTGGATATTAGTCCTTTGTTAGATGGATAGATTGCCAAAAATTTTTCTTCCATTTTGTAGCTTACCTGTCCATCTTTAACTTGAGTAGGGTACGTTCTTAAATTTGTTATTCTTCTTCAATATTGTTTTGGCTATTCTGGATCTTGTGCCTCTCTATATAAACTCTAGAATCAACTTGCTAATAGCTTAATAAAATGAACTGCTGTTTGGCATTCGATTGAGGCTGCATTGAATCTGAAGATCAAACTTGTTAGAAATGGCATCTTGGCCATACTGGAATCGTTGCCTTGTTCTCAAAATTAGTAGAAGAGCTGCTATATTTCTCACAATTTAGAATGATGGTAGCTATAGTTTTTAAAATAAATATATTACATCAAGTGGGTTTTAAGTTTCCCTGTATTCCATTTTGCAGAGAGTTTTATCATAAATGGGTATTGAATTTTGTGAAATGATTTTCCTGCATCTATTGATATCATCATGTGACTTTTCTTCTTCAGCCTGATTATGTGATGAATTATATTAACTGATTTTTAAATGTTGTATTACCTGTGCATTCCTGAGAAAATTCCCTCATGGTTTTGGTGTACAATCATTTTCATACAATGTTGGATTTTATTTTCTAGTATTTTGTTGAGGATTTTTGCAACTATGCTTGTGAGAGCAATTAAGCTATTTTTAATTAATATATTTGTCTGGTTTTAATGTTCGCATGATGCTGCATTATAGAATTAGTCAAGAGGTATCCTCTTTGCTTCTGTCTTCTTAAAGAGATCTTTTTTTGGTTGATAAAATTTTTTTCTTGAATGTATGGTAGAATTTGCTAGTGAAATTATCTGGGTCTGGCACTTTCTGTTTTGGAAGTTTTAGTCAGTTCAGGCTGGTATAACAAAATTATATAACCTGGTTAGCTTATAAATAAACTTATTTTCCATAGGTCTGGAGAATGGAATCGAAGATCAAGTTGCCAAATGTTTTGGTGTCTAATGAAAGACTTTTTTATAGACAGCTTCTCACTGTGTTCTAATTTTCTAAGGGAAAAGACAGCTTTCTGACGTTTCTTTTATAAGGTCACTGATTCCATTAATGAAAGCACTACTGTCATAATCTAATAATCATTCAAAAGCCCCACCTCTAAATACCATCACATTGATTATTAGATTTTCAACATATAAAATTTAGGGGGACACAAACATTCAGATCACAACATTCTGCCCCACCTCCACAAAATTTATGTCCTTCTTGCTTGTAAAATACATCCATTTTATTCCAATGGCCTCAGAAGTCTTAACATGCTCCAACATCAACTCAAGTCTGAAGTCCAAAGTTACATGAAAATGTTTAAACTTGACCCTGGTGACACTCTCTAGTTGTAAACTTATAAAGAGGTTATTCTTCCAAAGGACAGTGTTGGTACAGGCTTAGGATGTACATTCTGATTCCAAAAGAAGCAATAGGAAAGATTACAGAGGTAACAAGTCCCAAGCAAGTCTGAAACCAGACAGGGCAAACAAAATTAAAACCTCAGGCTCAAACTATTATCCCCTTTTACTCAATGTCCTGCTTTCAGGAAATACAGGACAGGGGTTGGGCACCAGGCTCCAGGAGGTTTTGTCCTTCAAAATCTAGATGAAGTTAGGCACAACTCAACTGTTCATGCAGTCTGTGCTCTGGGGAAGAGAAGACATGTAGTGGACACTACCTATGTTGAGTACTTGTGCCCTCTGGAGAGGTAGCCAACTCAGTTCACACTGCACCTGAACCCACTGGAGCCACATGTAGAGCAGCCAAGGAGCACTGTGCTGAAATTCATGGAGCAGAGCCTTGAAATTGCTTTGACCTCTGGTTCCTTGCACTCTGGTTCCTTACCACTGGTTCCCGAGCCTATGATTGGAGGCGGTAACTCCAGTAATTTACAAAATGTTCTCAGGGGTATTCCTCTACTGTCTAGAGGAGTAGCCCCTGGCTTCTCTTGAGATAGCAAATCCATACTAATTTTATGAGAATCACTTGTCTCTATCTTTATTCTCTCCTAAACGTATTTTATCATTCATTGCAACATGAGCAGGCTGAGAATTTTCCAAACTTTTAAGAAGTCCTGCTTCCTTTTTGATTAAAACTTTGATCTTTAATCATTTCTCTTTTCTTACATTTTATTATCAAAATTGAAAATGACTCAGGACACACTTTAAGCACTTTGCTTAGAAATTTCTTTATCCAAATATCTAATTCATTGCACATAACTTTTGCCTTTCACAAAACACAATTCAAAAATCCAAGGTATTTCCCAGTTTATAATAAGAATTGCCTTTCTCCCATTCCAATAACATGTTTGTTATTTCTCTCTGTAGGGATTTGTCTCCAATATTTACTGCAAGAACCTAGGTAAACTCCTGGAGGGGAAATTCATAAAAGTATGGGGACTCCCCTATGACTAGGTCCCTCTGGAGTTTTTAACTCATACTTTTCCACACCTAGCCTCCAGCAATGTCAAATACAGTTTAGGTTTTATTACCTTGACACTTGTTCTCATGGAAGTTTTTGCTCTGGTATGTTGTGATTCCCTATATACCCCTGTCAGTCTGTTCAATTTTAGGCGCAGAGGTTTGCTCTGTGATCTGACTTCTCTTATGGATCTAAGATTTTTTTCAGTTTGTTCAGCATTTTGCTTACTATTAGGAGGGAATGGTGACTTTCAAGCTCTTTATTTAAGGACCCAAGATTTTTTAGATGTAACATCAAAACTGTGACCCACAAAAGAAAAAAAATGTAGCTTAGACTTCATCAAAATTAATACATTTTAATCTTCAAAAGTTCCTGCTAAAATAAATGGAAAGACATTGGATAGAAAAAATTAAGCATTTATAAATAATGTATTTGATGAAGTACTTATATGAAGAGTATATAAAGATGTCTTCAAACCCAATAGGGAAGCAAACAACCTACAAAAAGTCTGCAATATACTGGTGCACTTTACAAAAGAAGATACACAGATATAAGCATGTGAAAAGATGTTTGGTTAAATTAGTCATTATGAAAATATCAATATATATTTTTTAGAATATGTATCTTATATCTTGTGTCATTTTACACTCTGATTAGAGTGCTTGCCAATCAGAGTGTAAAATGACACAAGCTTTCAGAAAACTATTGTATTTTCTTTTTCTTGAATTTTTAATTTTAGGTTTGGGGGTACAGGTGCAGGTTTGTTACATAGATAAACACATGTCATGAAGTTTTGTTGTACATATTCTTATATTGCCCATGTATTGAGCTCAGTACCCAATATATCTTTTGCTCCTCTCCCTCTTTCTACCATACCCCCTTAAGTAGATCCCAGTGTCTGTTGTTTCCTTCTTTGTGTTTGTAAGTTCTTATCATTTAGCTTCCACATATATGTGACAACATGTGATACTTGTTTTTCTGTTCCTCCATTACTTTGCTAAAGATGATAGCCTCCAGCACCATCCATGTTCCCACAAAAGACACAATCTTGTTCTTTCTTTATGGCTGTATAGTATTACATGGTTCATATATACCACATTTTATTTATCCAGTCTAGCATTGATGGGCATTTAGGTTGATTCCATGGTCTTCCACTGACGGGCATTTAGGTGGATTCCATATTGTGAACAGTGCTACAGTGAACATTCACATACCTGTTTCTTTATGGTAGAATGCTTTATATTCCTCTGGGTATATACCCAGTAATGGGATTGCTGTGGTGAATGGTTTAGCACTTTGAGGAATCACCATACTATCTTCCATAATGGTTGAAATAATTTACACTCCCAGCAACAGTGTATAAGGCTTCCCTTTTCTCTGCAACCTTGCCAGCATCTGTAATTTTTTGACTTTTTAAATAATTAGCCACTCTGACTGATGTGAAATGGGTATCTCATTGTGAGTTTGATTAACATTTCTCTAATGATCAGTAATATTGATTTTTTTTCTTATGATTGTTGGTCACATGTATTTCTTCTTTTGAGAAGTGTCTGTTCATGTCATTTGCCCAATTTTTTATGAGTTGTTTTTCTCTTGTAAATTTAAGTTCTTTATAGTTTAATTAGATCCCATTTGTCAATTTTTGCTTTTGTTGCAATTGTTTTTGGTGCCTTTGTCACAAAATTTTTACCCATTCCTATGTCCAGGATGGTATTGACTAGGATGTCTTCCAGAGTTTTTATAGTTTTGGGTTTTAAATTTAAGTCTTTAATCTACCTTGCATTAACTTTTATGTATGTCATAAGAAAGAGGTCCAGCTTCAATCTTCTGCATATTGCTATCCAAATTTCCAGCTCCATTTATTAAATAGGGAGCCTTTTTCCCATTGTTTATTTTTGTCAG